ACTTTAAGCGTAGAAATAACCTGGCGTCCTCAAAGTCAGAAAGTCAGTACCTATTTACGGGGAACGATATTCCTGCCAGAACACATGTTGGCACGTACCTGTTCTTAGTACATTTAATACTTTGCTTGAGAGCATAATCTGTACACCAACGCAGAAACTTTCAGATAAACATTGAAGTATTTTTCCTAAATAGTCTGAACTTGGTGATCACTAGTCCACATCTTGTGTATTAGTTATACTAACACAATTATTTTACATCTCCATACGTCGTATGATTGCCGTTGTTTTGTTTCGATACTCAAATAAATTATTTTACATGATTAATCATGTATTATTATAGTAAAATTGTATACTTACGACCTTAGCCTGAGAACATCGTATATGCTAAAACGTTATCTCTGAGGGCGCAAGTTGTTTTTGTAATTAATAACGTCATGCCAGCGCAGCTTCGAGTTTCAACGGACCTTCTTTGGGCCCGTGTTTTTCTTACACGTTAATAAATCAGTGCTCCGAAGTTTTGTCACACGCTTTGGTTTTGTTGAGGACGCCATTGGTATACACTGAAGGGCAATATAAATCGAACACTGCATGGGTCGTGTGACGAAGTGCTTCTCGCGGAATCTGGTCACCTAAATCAACAAACCATACTCTGCAGTCTACCGTTCCATGATTAAGGGAACACATTGTGGCTCCCTGTCTATATTTTTTAAGCAACGTTGAGTGGAACTGCTACAAGTATCACCATAAATATCAAATTAGCAAGGTATATTCCCGATTGGCGCATTGTTGAAATCTGTCAATGTTCTTCCCTTCAAGCCTTGCGCATATATTACTTTGAATTTATACTCTTACTACCATTTCAGAGTTTTGAACTGATTCCACAAAACCCACGTATAACCATAGCAGTCAGTCTTCAAAAATGCGAGGTGTGAATAGTAACCTTTTCTAAGCATAAGGCATCACCTGAAAAGAAGTGCGCCTTCATCCGACGAGATCACTAGATTATGATTTGTGACTATATAGCCACAAAACTAAAAAAAGAAATGTCACGGACTTTGCCAGACAGGCGAAGCAATGAACATGATAGCAACAAATTGAAAGGTCACGCGCAGAATGGAAAGCAAATCAAAACGTTCCCCGCGTTCGTCACGCACAAATTACGCTCAACACGTATTCACAGGTGCGGATGCACGCGAATAAGCGTCTCATTTGTTACTTTGCTTTGTCTGAAAGGCACGCGCTTTCCGCAAACGGAGACTGCAATGATTGCAGTGACCTTTGTGCACCCGGTAATTTCAGCAGAATCGTTCCGGGTAAAGCCCGAGGCCAGCCAAGGCGTACGACCGTCTCCTCCTCGCCACCGTGAGATAAAGGCGAGTGAAGGAGCAACGCTCCCCTTCTCTCAGCCGGGCAAAGTACGCGTAGCAGATTAGAGCGGGCACCGCCACGCGATGTGGCGACGCACACTCATTGTGCCATCTTACTGGTAATGCTGAACCCCCCCCCCCCCCCGTTTGCCTGCTTGTCGTTTGGACAGTGAAGGGTGCGCTCCAGACTGGCTCAGTGGTTAATGCCTTGCTTTCACAACGCAGAGGTCCCACGTTCGATTCCATGCGCCGGAGTGTTTATTCCAGATTTTTTTATCTTATTGCGGTTTCATATATGTAGATACGTATATATATACGGTGGACGACATCGACGCTGGCAGCAAAATTCAACCGAGAGTTTCCAGTTAATTGATATCGCAATAAAAGTATGCATCTGTTTGTATTGCTTTCTGCTGTGTCGTTCGGTGAGGTGTATGAGCAAAAGTTGCTGAGACTGTTGCCGAAATAATACGGTAAAATATTCCGCTTCCCTTCACATTGTTCGATAATGGAGACCAATAAATTCAGAAAATTTAATTGTTTGCATGGATTCTCTTCTCCCAGCCAGTATTTTTTGATGGCTCGAAACTTTAGGTAACCATTAGGACTAAATTTGGATAATGAGGACGATTCTCTGAGCGCGCGGAGGGCGCCGCAAAGGAAGACAGCCAAACGAGGAGTCCGCGTCCCTTTAGCGGGTGACGAGGCCACTGGTCAATATGTAGTTAGGTTGTCTCGGGCTAGCTACGACCGGACGGTCTTGAACCACGCTCACAGTGCAAACAACCTAATGAGGGGCGAGCATTGCGGCGTCATGCAAAACGAGTACAGGATTTCCGCATTCACCAAGAAAGAAGTTTTTTTGGTTTTCCAAAAGTTTTCATAACTTAGGTTATTGAGGGCATAATTTCTTTCCAGCGAGATAGGAAATAACAGGTGTTTACTGTACTTCAATTTCCGGCTCACCACAAGAGGACTGCTACCAAGAAGTGCATTACCTTTTACCGTGTCACAATGTATATGATTGCTCTGGTGGTGTTCAATGTGGCTATATTACGGGCGAAGCTCCTAAAGCCGAGGGTCTGTCCATCTCTTGTATCCATGTACGTAACCACCTGAGTTCCACCCTAGCCAACTGCCCACTACCTCGTCCTTGCAAACATCGTACTACAGCCCATCATTGATCCACCACTACACCACCCATAAAGCAAATACAGTAGCCAACATAAAATGCTAGATGGACATTTATTTGTATCTAGGAGCACGTTAAAAACCATAGTTTGTCTCACTTTGTCCGTTAACTGTTTGTATGTGACCACCTATAGTTCCATCTTTGCAAAATACTGACTACATCGTCCTTGCAAACATCCTACTACGCCCCGTCACCGAACCACCACGTCACCGACCATAAAGCCATTATAATGAAGGAAAAATGGAAGCGACGTATATCTACCGCTTACGAATAATAAACTTTCTTGTATAAATATATGCAATGTTTGTCACGTCTTTGATGATAAGGTGGCGATATCCGCGCATGGTTCACGGTTCAGCGATGACACTCTCCAGCGCTTCACCCTACTCATCATCATCCACTCCGTGGATATGCTGTGATTTTTTGTGCAGAGCACTCCCTCACTGTGCAAACTATATCGAAATCTTTGTGCGATGCTTAAAACCTACTTTCAAGAATATTGACAGTGTTTCGCATTTCTATGTGCTGATGTCATAATGCACCCTTTTGCCAATCCTATCTTTTCCTTGTAAAAAATGCTTTAAAAGGTGTGTTCATGTTGTTACGAAAAACAAGATCGATGTTATTTTGAAATCCGCTTTGCTGTTCGATCCCAAACTAGGTACAAAGGCTATGGCTTCAAGGAGTAGTTCTGACTGTCTGCATCGATTAATAACAAATACAGCCCACCAGTATGTAAATAAGTCGGTATGCTAACATTCAATTGCGTATTGTATGTATCAATAAATCTGACAAAAATAGAGCTTACCAGCTTACAAATGAGAAAGTGTAGTAAGTCTCAACTGTGTATTGTCTGTATCAATGAGTCAATATGAACAAAAAAAACATACAGCTTGCCAGCTTACAAATGAGAAAGTGTAGTAAGTCTCAATTGTGTATTGTCTGTATCAATGAGTCAAAATGAACGAAGAAACATACAGCTCACCAGTTGACAATTGAGAAAGTGGGCTAAGTGGCAATTATGTTTTGGCAATTATGTTTTGTGCAAAACAGCTGGACGCAGCTGGTGAGTGTAACTGTTCTGATGTCGGTGATGCGGCAACCAGTTTAGGTGTCTTTTTGTGGTTCTTACCAGTCTATATATCAAGTGTCCGAAATAAAACTCTACGAAATGTGGTTTATTGGTACGAGTACAGCACTTGGGCTTATGGACGCTGACAGCGGGTGGTGACAGGTGGCACATGAATCACAGCGTGGATCACAACAACTTGCGCTCGGCTCTTCAGGCTAAGGTCGTGGCCCACTACGGCATAGCGCTCTTATTATTCCTTACACTCCGTTTGAAGCCCACCATGCATCTTCTGTCGCCCCTGTTTTATTTTCGTTGGCTAATATGTATCAGAGTCGAAACCAACTATTCCAACTCTCAGCTCAAACTGTGACATTGAAAAAAAAAGTACATTCATTTGAAATTCTTAGGTGCTACTTTTGGATGAAAAAGCTGCCATTTCTCAATTGATACTAACTTTGAAAGAAAATCAAGGTTTGGAAATGTTGCAAATTTCAAGTGTCTTTAAATCAAGGTCATAGAAAAAATGAGAAGCGATGTAAGAGCTCTCTGGTGGGTGCTAGGAAAGCTATTCACAAAAAAAAAATTCTACGGCAAGGAAGAGAAGAAACGATGAATATAGCATGTAGCACAGCGTGTTGTGTTTATTCATGCTATTGGTGCGAATGTTAAGAACAGTTTTGGGAATACATTCTGTAACAAAATTATCCGGGGAACTTGCATCCTCGGTGGTGTGGGAGAAATGTCACAGCACATAACGCAATCTTGCAACCACTGTCTGAACCGAATATTTAGATGAATGCTTGTGCGGACTTTCATTGAAAAAGTGCAACTACAATTCCTTTGCAGCGTATTTCACTAAAGAAAGCATAGCTTTTTTATCTCTATCGTTTGCATTCATAGAACAGTAAACTGTAGAAATGGGGACAGTGGCTGACTCACGCGGCAACAGCCGTTCTTTAGGGACGCGTTAGTGCAAGCGATGCAGCAGTGGCTCGATGCGAACACAGCCAGCGCAACGAGAGGGGAGGCACCTCTACAGCTGTGAGTGTTTTCTATTAGGGCTACCTCTGATGGAACCAACTGCTGACACAGAAAATGGGAGCTTCGAGTTTGAACTGTTCCGCCACTACCCCACACGACTCACGCAAGTTCAGCGTCGTGACAGCGCCTTGAGCTGCAGCGAGGCGCGCCTGCCACTGCGCGGTTGGCTCCATCACCAGGCAAGCACGAGCAGCCCCTTCGCGTGAGGGGGCGCCCGGCCGATCGACGCGATCGCTGCACAGCCGCCTTCCCGATCCCTGCGCGCGCTCAAAGGTGCGAGCTTCCCGGCGCATCCACGCTCAGACCGAGAACCAGAAAATCTGCTCACCCGTGCTCTTTTTCGTCGCACACGACGCGATTCAAGTGGGGCAGCCATGTTGAACGCGCCGATCCCAGGATGCGCCGCGTGCTCACAACTCGGTGGTGGGTGCCGATTCCCTTTCCCCTTCTGGATCGGTGTCGGCGCAGAACAAGTGCAGGAAAAAAAAAAAAACGCACCCAACCATCGCGGCGCCAGCGGTGCTCTTGGTTTTGTTGCGCCATCTGCCGTGATAAGAAAAAACGCTTTTTACAACTATCTTTGGCAAACGTAGTTGAATAAACATATTTACGCAAATGCTCTAACTGTGACACTTTAATGTTCCTGAAAAGCGCTAGCGCATTTGAGCGCGAGTCGATTCGATCCCCGTTAGTGGCTGCACTAGGCCTTCCCCGGAGCAGAGGTGCGGCCCCTGGTGGTTGCCGCCACTGCACCCGAGCCGGCGCGGATGAATGCGCTCCCACTTTTTGCTGCTGTCTGCTTTGAGCCGTTCCGCGTGCGTCATGCCAGTGGGGAGAGCAGGAAAGGGCGCTTCGCCGCACAGCTATCGCGTGCTGCGGGAAGTAACATTGCCGTATTGCAGTCCGCCTGTTTGAAAACATCGGCTGGAGTGCGCACCTTGCAGTACAATGACGCATTGCCTAATGGCGCAAATCTGTAGAGAATAAACAATGGGTTGATAAATTGGTTGAGTGAAGCGAGACTGGCCGATGAGCGGGCCTAATAAATGTCGTTGTAATGCATCTTGAGTGCGCTACGAGCGTTGCGTTCATGCGCATAAAAGTCACTCTAACGCACAAGAAATATACACAAGAAGTTTTAACCCACAATTGGTGTCTTAAGTAGTTGTAGATGAAGCGAACAAGCTTTACACAAGGTTTATTGGAGCTGCACATGATCTACGAGGCGCAGAAAAAGGGAAAAAAAGAGAAAAGACGTGTTTCGAAACAGAGAAGCTCATGAAACTTTGCGAGTTGCTTTAGCTTCATGGTGTAAAATGCATCGCCTAAAGACGACACACTAAAGAGGGAGGACTCATTACCAAATAAGCAGGTATTGCCGTGGCGATTCCTACATATTTTCTAATGTAGCACGCTTCCAACAGTTGACGTGCCAATGTGTTTTTCTGCGACACTCAGTGTTATTGATCATTGTATTATGTGGTGACAGAAAACGTAGTCAATACAAATGCTATTGAAAAAGGCATTCATTTCTTATGCAATCCAACTTAATATTGAAAGACACTTCGCAGCCTTCAATATTACCTTTACAAGAGTACACTGGCAATAAATAGTTTGTCCATGCATGGTAATAACAGGACATGAAAACGTGTCGCCTAATATTCCTCGTTATTCAAAGCATTCTACTCGGGTTAGTAGATGTACCGAGCTCTGCTGCACCTCTAGCGCTTAAGCAAAATAGTTATTAGAATTGCAAACAAGCTGTGCGGAAACCCGCAAGGTGACGTGAAGATGTATTTAATTTTTATTCTATTCAATTATTGCTTAATAATTTTTCATAAATACTGCAGCCCATCAAGATCTATGGAAGAGTGGCGACAACATCACCTGTCAAGCACAGACAAAAATTGGTCATTGGCAAAGCACGAACAAACTCAGGCAACTCATTCCAACGGTCAACTGTTGCAGAAAACTAGCTATATTGTGAGGAACCGGTTTATTTAGCCAGGGTTGAGCTAAATCACACTGGGGATGATACTTAGAGATGATGAAGATATACAGGTGATGATGATATTTAAAGAGAAGGAAGAGTCATTCGCTTGTCGCGCTCACACTAATTCCCCCGCGCGATGAAAACGGCCGCCTGGTTGCCTGATAGTATTATGAAATGCGTCACGCATAAGGCTTTAAACGATATACGTGCACTATCTCTGTCCCTCGGCAACGATGATCAGGATTAGTGCTAAGAGGAGAAACGCGGTAATTGACAGGAGATGTCTGTTTGACCACCGTGTACGGCCCAATGAAGCGACTGATGAATTTGTCGCATGAGCCGGGGACGCGCAGTGCAGTCCCTAGAAGAACTTCGTTGCGAGGGGAAAAACTCAAACACGGCTAGACGAGTCGTAGCGAGGTTTTCGAGCGTCTTAAGAGAAGCCGGTGTTAACGCGGGCCAGGAGACGGCAGTGTGCGAGACGCGATCAAAATTCTTCAGAGAAAGGAGCCATCGAGGGTTCAGGGGCCGAAAGGAAAGAGACATCCTGAGCAAAACTCAGCGAGCGACCTTGGACGAAAATAAGTGGAGAAAAGCCGGTAGTGCGTTCAGCAGCTGCATTATAGGCTAATGTCACGAAGGGTAGAATTGCATCCCAGTTCGTGTGGTTCGGGTGAATGTACGCGGCGATCATGTCCTGACAGGATCCGATGAAAGCGTTTAGTCAATCCGTTGGTCTGCGGGTGGTAGCTAGAAGTGGTCTTGTGAACAGTGTTCGAGGCACGCAAATCTTGCTCGACAATAGAAGATAGAAGACTTTGCCACGATCGCTCAGGAAATTGTGGGGAGCTCCATGGCGCAAAAAGTTGTGGTGAAGAAAGAAATAGGCGATCTCAGTGGCAGACCCAGATGCTATAGAAGCTGTTTCTGCGTAGTGGGTAAGGTGGTCGATGGCCGTGACAATCCAGCGATTTCACATTGAATGATATAGGAAGAGGGCCATACAAGTCGGTTCCAACGACATCAAAAGGCGAGGCGGGTCAAGGAAGAGGTTGCATTAAGACAGCCGGAGCAGTTGTCGGTCGTTTTCGCCGTTGGCAATGCACACAGGAGGTGATGTACTTAGCGACGGCTGAAGAGAGGCCAGGCCAAAAACAACGACTTCGTATTTTGCCGTAAGTCTTGTGATAGCCTAGATGAGCGGTGGTTGGCTCATCATGAAAGGCTTCCAGTACTTCACGTTGCAGAGAACGTGGGATGACGGGTACCCACTTGTTGCCATCGATGTGGTAAATGTAGCGTTATAAAGCACCACCGACAAGCTTAAATTGTTTAAGTTGTCAACGGAGTCTGGCGTTTGGAGGAGTAATGAAGCCGGTCAAGTGGTCAACAACGGTGCGGCAGTATGGGTCGACACGTTGTTGTGAAACAAGGACGGATATGGTGCCAGGTGATGAACATAGCACTGCGATTGGAGAGGTGCTGTCGTTTCGGAGTATCGATGGTGAGTGGCCTCCGCTGGGCAAAGGACAGCGTGATAGAGATTCACATCTTGATGCTACTTCTCAGATCTGTAGGCGACATCAAAAACATACTCCTGCAAGCGAAGCGCCCAGCGAACGAGATGACCCGATAAGGTTTTCAGCGATGCCCCGACGTGGTGGTCTAGTGGCTAAGGTACTCGGCTGCTGACCCGCAGGTCGCGGGTTCGAATCCCGGCTGCGGCGGCTGCATTTCCGATGGAGGCGGAAATGTTGTAGGCCCGTGTGCTCAGATTTGGGTGCACGTTAAAGAACCCAAGGTGGTCTAAATTTCCGGAGCCCTCCACTACGGCGTCTCTCATAATCATATGGTGGTTTTGGGACGTTAAACCCCACAAATCAATCAATCAATCAAGGTTTTCAGCGATGAAAGCCAGAACAGGGCGTTATGGTCGGTAATGCCGGTAAAATTACAGCCGTGAAGATATGGTCGGAATCTTTGCACTGCCCAAACAACAGCAAGGCACTCCTGCTTAGTGATAGTGTAGTTCTTTTCTGCAGCGGTAAGAACACGACTTGCGTAAGCATGGACGCGTTCGCGTGAGTTTTTGTCACGCTGCAAGAGTGCCGCACCTAGACCAGGACTGCTTGCTTCGGTGTGAAGGATGGTGGGTGCGGTTGAATCGAAGCGGCACAGTACCAGATCCGACGTGAGGGCTTGCTTCAATGCCATGAAAGCGCTTTCGCAGTCTTCGGACCAAACGAAGGGGACGTTCCTTGCGAGGAGTTAATGGAGCGGAGACGCAACATCCGCGAAGCCACGTAAGCGCCGGAAGTAAGAAGATAACCCAAGAAAGCTGCGCTGCTCCTTTTGACGTAGTGGACGAGGAAAATCGTAGACGGCGGGAAGCTTCTCGGAGTCCATCCGAATTTCTTCTGTGCTGACGATGTGGCCGAGAATCTTGATTGTCTTGCTAGCAAAGGTAGACTTCTTGGTGTTAAGCTGCAGACCGGCTTTTGCAAGGCATGTGAGGACTTCGTCAAGACGTTTTACATGCTTCGAGAACGTGGATTAAAACACTATTATGTCATCGAGATAGCACAGACACGTTTTCCATTTCAAACCACGCAATACGCCATCTATCATGCGTTCGAAGGTGGCGGGCGCATTACAGAGTCGAAAAGACATCACATTAAACTCGCACAACCCTTCTGGCGTTGAAAAGGCGGTCTTCTCTTTATCAGACTCTGACATTGGTAACTGCCAGTAGCCTGCCCTAAGTTCGAGGCAAGAAAAATACTCGGCGCCCTGTAATGAATATAGTGCGTCGTCAATCCGAAGGAGAGAATAAACATATTTGCACGTTATTTTGTTTAGCGCATGGTAATCGACGCAGAAACGCACTGTCCCATCTTATCTCTGAACGAGAACAACTGGGGATGACCAGGGACTTGATGAAGGACGTATAATGTTGCATCATAGCATGTCTGAGACGTTTTCCTCTATGATTTTGCGTTCTGCCTGAGACACGCGATATGGACGCCGATTTACAATACGAAAGCCATAAGTCTGGATGCTGTGACTAGCGGTGGTCGTCATGCTGAGGATGGGTGAGTTCACGTCAAATAGAAAACGGTGTCTATTAAACAGGGCGAGCAGATCGTCCGTTTGGTCAGGTGTTAAATCAGTGCTTATGGTTGCCGATGCAGGTGTGGAAGAGGCATTGTATGGCAGTGATTGTGACTTTGGGACAACGTTGTGGTTGTTGTTCGGAAAAGTAACAATCGCAACAGTCTCACTGTCGACCACGCAAGATACTGTTGAGCCACAGGAGAGCAGTACACACTCGGGCATTTGATATTATGGCGGTTAGGTGGGTAGACCCATCGAAGAAGCGAATAAGCTCTGGTGTGATCACAATGTTCTACGTAGGGTATGGCCATAAGGGAGAATTAGTACGTCAT